TCCAATAAAATAAATTAAAAAAAAATTAAAAAAAAAGTGGTGTGTCTGCCTTTTCACCTCTCTGTCAGTGTATTTAAAGGAGCAGGTTGAAAGTATAATGAAATATATCTTAGCAATCTTTTTAAGGATCATGCTTGCATTTAAATATTTGCCTATTCCATGGCAAAAGATTTTCCCTATTATTTTCTTACAGAAATTTCGAAACTAAGGTTTTCAAATCTGGCTGATGAGAATTTTGAGTTACTCTTGTGCAGTAGCAAGTGTGGCCTCGAGGCCTGTATGGACAGCTGGCTGGACCAGCATCATCTGCTCCAAGACTGTGGTCTACGTGTAGACCAGCATCACAGACTCTCTCTGGGTCTCCTACTTCTTCAAGCAAGCTTGAAGACCAGCTTGAGAACAAGCAGCCGCATTTTGGGTAAGGCTTATACTTGCATCTGTAGTTAAAACTGGGGACAATGAACATCCATGAACATGGTATTTGTTTTAAGTCTTTGATCTTGTTTTTACCCCAGTGTTTTATGCTGGCAGCATGTATAATGTATATGTATAATGTGTAATGTATATGTATAATGTATAACGTGCAGCATTTCAGTCGGACATTTCCTGTTTTGGGGTGCTATTGTAAGTGGTACTGTCTTTAATTTTCAGTGTTTATATAGATAGTCTACAGAATTACAATGGATTTCTGTGTATTGATATTACATTTAGATTTTGCTAAACACATTGGTAGTTCTAGTAATTTTCCTGCAGATCCTCCAGGACTTCCTTTGTAATTACATCATTTGAAAAGAGTGGTGTTTTCACTTTTCCCTTCCTCTTGCAATGACCATAGCCGTGAAGAAATGCTGACCCCTTGCATGGATGAAGGGAAAACTAAAGGTGATTGCTGAGACTCACTTCCTACTGTCTCCACTCCAGGTGGCAGGTTTGCTCAATTCCTAGCAAAGGCCTCTATGAAAAAGACAAGAGCCTGTGGGAGCAGATCCCAGTTAAGCTGCTCCAGAGGCATAGGAAGGTGGCCTACAGAAGCTCTAGCCTGACCCAACACAGCAAGGGTTCTCCAAGGGTGAGCGGGCTTGATAGGCTAACTACACCACAGATGGGCCATCCGTTTACTCTTGCTGTTTCTGCAGACCCTAGTAGAGTGGCATGGTAGCACTGGAAGATTTCTAAGGAGTGGAACCATGAACTCCTTATGTAAACAATAGTATGAACTCCTCAGGTAAACAATAGTATCAGATGACAGAGCTAACAAGCTGGAAAGCTGCAGCAATGTGGCTGGTGCACAGGAACTCTGTGGCTACCCAATTACTATACGGTATGTTCATGACACTGGATAGACATAGCCATATGAATGAGGAAATGTTCTGTGAAAGGAAGAGGTCCAAGTGTCAACCTCCCTGACCCCATGTTCTTTGCATCTGGTGTGTTTCACCATGAGCACGGCCTCTGCATTTACTGTAGTCAACTGCGTATCTGATGGTACATGTGCAGGAATGCCTGCTTCTGTCCAGCCTCAGACCCAGCCTCTAAAGGACCGCTCTATTCTCCTATCTAAGCTCCCCTCCCGGAGGGAGCATGACAGCACTCTGCTCAGGGGATAGTACTGTGATGCCTCCCTTCCACAGAGCTCCTGGAGAATGAAGACATAATCTTCATGCCTGCCCAAGCTGCTATTCTGTGGGCCTACCCACATCACTTTCACACCATGGCATCCAAGAAAAAAAGAGAAATTCATGCTTTTTTTTTTAATTCAAGCTTTTAATTCGTATTCCCTGAGACCCAAGCTCACGATGAGATGTCAGTGGCACTGAGGTCCCACAAAGGTCCTCCCAGGAGTAGATATAGATCCAGGGCTTTGCATTGCTAGGTAAGTGCTCTACCACTGAAAATGTTCAAGGTCCTACACAGTATGCACCTCAAAAGCACCACCTAGTGGTAAAGAGTTTTATCTTAACACTAGAGCATAATCCTTAAAACATGGATTAATATAAGCAAGGAATATTTATTTCACCACTTTCCATATCCCACTATAACAAGATGAGGAAGAACTCAAATGCATATGCAAATTTCAAGTTTAGCTCTTACTCTCAGGAAATGAAAGACAGGTCTGAAGCTGCCAAGTTAATCTGTAAACAGCCAGCCATGCTGAGACTCCAGTTTATTTATAAATATTACCTTAGAGTGGGAAGCAGGCAATGTGAAGGGTGGCAGTCATTGGGACATGTCACAGATGCCCTGAGCCAGCTATGTCAACACATGTTGCCAACACTGCCATGTCATGAACAACAAGTTCTTGAGAATTCTCATCACTGCTTTTGGCCAAGGGGTCTCACCTGGGTCCAGACACATGAACTTGCAGCATTCCTTAGGGTCCTTGCGGTACTGCTGACACCCCTGGGGCCGCTCACACAGGGCAGCGACACACATCTCAGGCTCCCCTCGATGGCAGGTACAGCTCAAGCATGGGTCATCTCCCTTGGGAGTGAAGTAGAACCCTTCATCCACCACATTGTCTTTGATATCAACACATGTCTGACCTGCAAGGGGTACATGTGCAGGGACATGTGTTACCAGCAGCACTGAGCCCCAATTCTCTTCCACCGCCTGCACCTTTGGAGAGAATAGGGCAAGTGAGGAGCTGGCCAGCTCTTTTCTGCAAGTCCTCCCTGTAGATTACCACACGGTCTGGAGAAAGCACAACTAGCCCAGACAGATGGAGCCCACCTCCTCAGAACAGGAATGACAGGTTTCAAGGTAAAGATCCCCGCAGAAGCATTCAATTAAAGTGTCTGGTTCATTTATGATATTTCTAAGTGCTATGGATATTAACTATTTAAAACTGGAGTGTATGTAGAATGAGTCTCTAGGCACTGCCTGACAAGATGGTCCTCTAAACAGAAATGTGTAGCAAAGTGTACAAAGTGACCTGGGAGACTGGAGCAGGGAAAGAGCTACAGCCAGCCCCTTAAGCTGGTAAGAGTGCCGGGCGGTGGTGGTGCACGACTTTAATCCCAGGGCTTGGGAGGCAGAGGCAGGCGGATTTCTGAGTTCGAGGCCAGCCTGGTCTACAGAGTGAGTTCCAGGACAGCCAGGGCTACACAGAGAAACCCTATCTGGAAAAACAAAAAAGAAACAAACAAAAACAAAACAAACAAACAAACAAAAAACTGGTAAGAAAATGTGACAGACACATGGGAGGGGATGGGCACAAGGTAAGGAAACCAGAACAGGAAGCATGTTCCACTCTCCAAATGGTGTGGAGGTGTCTGACGAGACTTCAGAAATCTGACAGCTCTCCTCAGTTAGAACTGGGGTCACCCTTCCCCACATGGCCATCATGTTCAGGGGAAGAAAGAGAAGAGAACACTCTCTGCTATGACAGTGAGAAAAGAACAAGGGAAAGAAACAGAATCCTTAGATAACTATGGGTACCATTAAGTATCCCAAAAGGGTTAAGCATCAACAGATGTCAGATGCAAGCACTAAGAGGAGAAAAGTAAGCAGAAATGTAGTTTAAACAATGATGACTGAAAACTTCTCCAATCCAGTAAAGAGCAAAACCCTACATTCAGAACACACAACAAACTCCAAATAGGATTAAAGACAAAAAAATTTACAAACAGGTATATTACAGTAAAAATACTGAAAATCTAACAGGAACATCCAAACTTCTGGCATCATCTACAAATGTGTTAGGCCTCACAGCTACTGTGTGATGCATATAGCTGTAGGCCTAGAAAAATAATTTAAAAATATTTTCTTTATATATATGAATTAAGGTAACTCTTATGAATGAAAGAAAATATGTAACTGGGGGCTTGCTCACAGTTTCAGAGCTTAGTCTACTACCATCATGGCAGGGAGCGTGGCACTAGAGCAGGAGTTAAGAGCTGCATCCTGATCCATGATGGGGCAAGGCACATGACAGACAGACACAGTCAGACACAGACAGACAGACAGACAGACAGACAGACAGACAGACAGACAGAGGCCCTGGCCTCGGCTTTTCAAACCTCAAAGCCCACCCCTAGAGACACACTTCTACCAACAAGGCTACACCTCCTAGTTCTTCTAATCCTTCAAACAGCATCACTCCCTGGTGACTAAGCATTCAGATACAAGAACTACAAGGCCCATTCTTATTCAAAGCACCACAGACATGAAATTTAGTCAAGAAATGGAAAGACCAAGCAGACTCTGAGAAGTGGAAGGCACAGACCGAGTACAACGAGCCGCCCTTTAAGAGGATCTTGAGTATGCCCTGATGCAGCAATGGAACACAACGACACCAACAGCACATGGTAGGAAGAGGCCATGTGTGATTCAGAGGCTGGCACAAATTAGCTCTAAAAGGATATTATTGGAACTACGGACAAAACTGTACCAATGGATTGTTCATGATGGCATGGTATTACAGTCAAATGAAATGTCCTGAGGTTGAAAAATGTACTATGCTTACATAAGAGTGTCTTTGTTCTCAGTAAATACACTGTATGGCTACAAGTCCATAGGACTGCTAATTTTGCGGATGTTGAATTGGTAAGATACACACAGGCATGTCTCATAAAGGGCACGAAGAAGTGCATTACACTCCTTGCAATAGACTTCTCCCCAAGTCTAAAATTATATCTAATAGTGACCCGAGGTCACCCCTGCTCTCCCTGCCCAGTGCAGATGGTCCTATAAGGTCTGTGTACCAAACACTCAATGACAAGATTATCTTCAACATGTATAGATTTAAAGAATGGCATGGAACTGCTTCCCAATTTACATAATAAAATGAATATAACTGTGGACAGAGAAGCGAAGCACAGCCCGGGGGGAAGAAGTAGTCAACCTGCTCTTCTCTTGCTGCTGCTTGAGCTTTCCAGCTCTCCACCCTGAGGGTAGCCTGGCTGCAGATGGTCAGAGAGCTCTCATCTCCTGCTGTGAAGCCTTGGCCTCAACTAGCACAGCAGATGGCAGCAGGCACAGGATGAGCCGGAAAGAGCCACATTTCATTGTCTCTTCTGTGTTGCTGTTGACTCAGCAAAAGTAGGTGATCAAAACCCAAAGGAGGTTTGCAGCGCCGCCACCGCTCTAATGCCTCTGGTTTGCCAAGCTCCAGCCGAAGGAGAAGTGGGGTAAGTAAGGAGGTGCCCATACCTTGTACAAAGCAGACTGCCCGCAAATCCACCAGTGGTAAAGCACCCAGGAAACAACTGGCTGCAAAAGCCGCTCGCAAGAGTGCGCCCTCTACTGGAGGGGTGAAGAAACCTCATCGTTACAGGCCTGGGACTGTGGCACTCCGTGAAATCAGATGCTATCAGAAGTCCACTGAACTTCTGATTCGCAAGCTCCCCTTTCAACGTCTGGTGCGAGAAATTGCTCAGGACTTCAAAACAGATCTGCGCTTCCAGAGTGCAGCTATTGGTGCTTTGCAGGAGGCAAGTGAGGCCTATCTGGTTGGCCTTTTTGAAGATACCAACCTGTGTGCTATTCATGCCAAACGGGTAACAATTATGCCAAAAGGTATCCAGCTAGCTCGCCACATACTTGGGGAGCGTGCTTAAGAGTCCACTATGAGGGGAAACATTTCATTCTCAAAAAAAAATTTTTTTTCCTCTTCTTCCTGTTATCAGTAGTTCTGAATGTTAGACATTTTTTCCATGGGGTCAAAGGTACCTAAGTATATGATTGCAGGTGGAAACATAGGGGACAGAATCAGGTATTAGCAGTTTCTCCATGTTCATTTGTGTGTGAACTTTTAATATAAATGCAAGATGTAAACCATTAATGCAAGCAAAATGTTTCAGTGAACACATTTCAACAGTTCAACTTTATAACAATTATAATTATTTATAATTGTTAAATTGAACCTGTTAAAATTTTCTGGACAAAAAAAAAAAACAACCCAAAGGAGGGTGATGCAGTAACTTAAAAGTCTATATACACACACAATAAAGTGGTCATGCTGCCATGTTCTAGCTGAAGATCTCCATCCAATGGAAAGGGTTATCATTAAGCTCTTAAGAGCAGAACCTGAAGACCATTACTCTGTCTTTGTTAAATCTCGTCTGACTTCACCAGGGAAAAGGGCTAGACTGCTGAGACACTAGCTGAGTCTTTCAGTGCTCCAAGCTTATACAGGTTGTTCTTATTCTAAAGCTCAAGACATACAGGAGAATGGGCTTTGATGGGTGCTATACGAGACAGAGGCGGCGTCACCTGCATCGCTCCAGAGGTGCAAGGGTCCGGGACTGGCAGCTGTGTGAAGTACATGTCAATCACAGGAAGTCAGGGGAGGGCACATCATTCCCTGGAGCTGGAGTTACAGGTGGCAGTGACTTCCCTAACATGGCTGACTGTGCGTTGTACATGGCCTTAACCACTGGGCTTTGTCTTCAGCCTTGTGAAATCATTTTTCTTCTCGAGTTTGATTTGACACAACCTATCTTGAAATTATACATGAAATAATTCAGAACTCCCAACTGGTGTCAGATGTCCTCTCTATAGGAATATCGTCCTGAGCCATTTTCATGGACTTTGGTGTTGCCTGCATAGACTGCAGAGACTTGAACAGAGCTGCAGATGTAAGGCTGAGGCTGGAGAAACAAACACTGACAGGCTGGAGCCCAGTTATCAGATGGGGCTTTAGAGCATCGATGCAGACTTCCACATTGAAACTGGACCCAGCGTGTCATCACAACCTCATGTCACGTCATAAAATTGACTTCATAGTCATTAAGGTTAGGAAAACAGGAGACAACCTTTCTAATGACCTGGTATGTCTGGGTGGATGTGAAGTAGTGAAAGCAAACACTCTCACACAGGAGTGTGTAATGAGTACATCGGTGTGCTGATGGAAAAGACAAACCATTGTGCTTAACTTCGGACTGAGAATTTGCAGCTTATGTGAATTAAATATGAAGTATGTTTAGTTCTTTTTGTACCCTGAGTTTTGCATATTAGCCAATTATTCAAGATTTGATGGCATTTAATAATATGTAAATAGTTCGACAGATATTGCTCAGATTGTTGTTTTTCCAAGACAGGGTTTCTTTGTGTAGCCCTGACCATCCTGTCTCACTCTGTAGATCAGGCTTGCCTTGAACCCAAAGATCCACCTGCCTCCTCTGCATTCCAAGTATGGACTTAAAGGCGTGAGCTACCACCACCTTGCTATGTTCCACAATTCTTATGATAAAAACATTTTTAAAAGGAAAAAAAAACTATAGTCGAGGGAATAAAAAACAGCCAAGGAAAGGATGCAGTCAATACACACCCTTGGCCTGCAAGTGCTCTCCGTTGCAGTGCTCTCCCTGTCTGCCTCCCTCTCCATGGCTGCCCCATTCCTATTTCCCCAGCCCACCAAGGGTTTTTTTGTTTTGGTTTGCAAATACTTTTGGAGCTAAGAAGCTCATCACCTGGATGCCTCTTGATTACTTGCACTTTTTGTTTTAAAAGAAAAGACTGCTGGACCAGCACTATATTGCCAGTTATTAAAAACAGCAACTTGGCTACAAAAACTGGTATATTCAAAAACTTAATGCCTTTCTAATAAAGGCAAAATGTTTTGTTGTTGTTGTTTTGAGACAAAGTCTCACAGTGTAGCCCTGGTTGGCCTAGAACTCAAGACACCCACCTGCCTCAACATTCCTAGTGTTGAGATTAATAGTTTGTACCAACAGGGCCAGCAGAATGTGACTTTTTATATGTTCTACACAAATTATTGTTGACTTCTAATGTGTTTAGTAATTTCATTTTGATAACTGGATCTCTTATTTGATATTTTAATTTCTATCTGAAAAACTTTTTTAAAATTTCAAATTACATTTACTTCCTTGTTTGTGAGTGTGGTGGGTGTGTATGTGCCATGGTGCAAGTGTACAGGTTGGAAGACGACTTGAGGAAGGTGGTTCTCTCATACCAAGTAGTCCTGTGTATTGTCAGACTCAGCAGCAAGCATCTATACCTGCCGACCCATGTCATGGTCTTTGGGGATATTTTTTAGTGCCAATCATTAACTTATTTATTGTAAAAAGCTAATTTTCTTCACATTTTACAATCTGACTTATGACGAAAAAGTTGTAACAATAAACTTGAACTTCATTTAGAAAACAACAGAAATATGAGCCAAGGAGAGTACAGAATAGGAATGTACCAGGCCCAGCTCACTTCTTACGAGTTATAAAAAATGTGAAACAAAGTACCAGCAAATGAAATTCAGCAGTGTAAGATACATAAACCCACAACGATGGTTAACCATCAGATATGACGGCAAGTGCCTGAGCTCCAGCTCCTTAGGAGGCTGAAGACAAATGCTTGAGCCCAGGTGTCAAGGTCAGCCCAGGCCACACAGAGAAAACCTAAAACAGAACAAAGTCTAATGAACAATGAACCGAGTGGTAAGATTAAGGAAGGGAGCTCCACATAACTCCAGGAAGCAGAGGAGCCCTGCAGCGCCATGCAGTATATTCTTGTGTGCACACTCCTGAACAAGGAGGAGCAGAAAAGAAGTGCTTTCCTCCCCAGGACACGGTTAGGGTCCTGTAGCAATCATGAGGCTGCCGCTGACCCACTGAAAGCATGTTCCTAATCAACACGAGAGTGGAGACCTCGGCAGGAAGAGGCAAAGAAATCTAGGAGTAAGATTTTAAACTTACAAAACTTTATGTAGACACGTAAGAGAATCCCACACTAAAAGAACTAGTATAAAAAAAAAAAAGCCAATAACCCTAAAATTGGTATAAAAGAGAAGAAGGCCCAGAAGAGCAAGAGGTAGAGAGAGTGGAAACCTGTGTTAGACATGGAGGTCAAGCCTGGTCTGATATTCCCTTGGAGTGTAGTGCTGACACAAACTGACAGAGAGCAATGATCACTAGAGGCCCAGATACCTAGAACACAGGCCTGTGACAGGGAGGAAGTCACAGTGGGGGAGGGGAGGAATATCAACACAACTGAGTACACACCTAACTTGAACCGTGTATCAGCAGCTGTCAGCAGCAGTTAAGGCCAATCTTGGTTGTCAACCCTTCCCAGAGGACTGGCTGGAGGAAGGCCAGTCCCAGCTTTGCTTGGTATGTCTACATTATAAGTAGAACCCTTGGTGTAATATTTGGGTGGATGTGTTGGCAAAGGGCTGGGGAGACTCCTAATCCCATATACTAGGGAAGAGAATTCATACAGAGCAGACAGCCAAGAAGATGCCCAGCTCAACAGTTACTAAGGTCTTTGACAGTACAAGAGGTACCACATGCTTCCCAAGTCCCCAGATCACTGTTCTCACCCAATGTCTTGAGAACACTGAAGTCATAAAGCAAGAATTGTCCTTATCAGGGGAAAGGGAACCAGGGGTCAAGAACTCCTCTATGGCTGCCAGGGCCACAGAGCTAGAGGCTAGATGGGTGGCTCTACTTCAAAGCACCATGAGGTTGGCACCTACTGGAGGCTGACCCAAGGACTCACTTCTTTTACACAGAAATGAAGACTTCTCAGAGCAGCTCTCTGCATGCCAGCTATGGAGGTCATGGTGCCTCAGGGTAGGAAAGTGGAAACACTGGAGCTGGGCGCAGAACACGTTGTCATTCTCAGACATGGCGGAGGCGAAGATGGGGTCTGGGGGCAGGAACACTTCCGGAGAGCCTGTAGGGGAGACTAAAGGTAAGGCCAGATATGCCAAGCTTTTAGCAGATTGTCATAAACAGTCCTCAAGGAGGTCCTAGTGTCAATAGGACACCACCACAGGGCTGGAGGACTGCCAAGAGTTAAAGGCTGCTGCAGCTCCAGAGAAGGTGCCAGAAACACAGGACCTGACCATAGGTCAGCATGCTGGCCCAGGGGGCCTTCTCTGTAATTACTGCCTATTTCCATGTGCCTTGTCCCACTCAGTGGACGGAGGCAGGGAGACTCCAACAGTATCTTCTGAGTCAGGGCAGCTCCCTGTTTCAAACTTAACTCCCACAATTCTTACCTTTGAATGCCACTTCCCAGCGGCCTTCTAAGGAATGGTTCCGGCCGGTAATGACATACTGATAACCAACCCAGAGCCTGCAGAGGACAGAAGGACAAACCTTGGTACCTGAGTGAAACAGCCTTTGACGACTATACGTGTACATATGTATGTAAAGTACTGAGGACGTTTACCTTCTTCTTGTCCTGGGGTTCAAATTTGCAAGGCAAGCACTCTACTCCTGCACCATAGTGAGCTCTTCATTCTGGGGTAGACTAGATTTGAGCTTCTGACTCTTATCAGCTCAGCCCCACAAGGAGCTGGTTTTCTATACACAACATAACTGAAGTTTATCTTGAAATGGCTCTCTGGCCACTTGCCTCTTAGGTCATCACGCTCCCCTGGCAGAATGGCAGCTGTGCCGGTCGTTGGGAGGCAGTAGGTGACTGGCAGTGAACACTGGCCTTTGTTTGGACCCAAAGAACTGTACTTTCTTCTAGAGAAGGGGAGACAACTGGCTACCATTTCCTGCTTCTGCCCCTCCAGCATGGATAGGGCGCATGGTGCAGCTTTCTGAAGGCAGCACAGTGAGGACTTTGGTATATTCCCGTTCCCTAAACATGAGCTCCACAAACACTGAGCCTTTAAGTAGGCTGCCACGTTTCTGTTTCCTCTAGATGATCAGGGCCTGGATCTCAGGTGGCAGGCTCTGGGCAGATGGCCTGA